AGGTAAGATAAAACTTACTTGTCATCCTATTATTGCCAATAGTGAAATAACTAAATGTGAAGGCTTACCTGGGAACTGATCCCCGAACAGAACCTCATTGATAGTCACATGTAATGGTAATATGGTACAGCAAAGCTAAGTAATATATTAGATAAATATTATCTTATTTAGTTTATTAATTTTAGCATGAAGATTTATGTGCTGTGAAAAGATAGATATAATTTTGAAATTGTAGGATCCATGATGACCTTACAAGAACTGTAGATCTTTGTCGAAAGGCCGAAGCAACCGGAGTTTCCTGGATCACAGTCCATGGAAGAACTGTTGAAGAAAGACACCAGCCAGTTCACTATGAGGCCATTAAAATAATTAAGGACAATGCGTCTATACCTGTGATTGCTAATGGAGACATCAGAAGCTTAAAAGAAGCAGAAAATGTGCGGCATATTACTGGGACAGATGGTAAGAAATAAGTAGTTGAGGTTTTTGTCTTTTAATTAGCAAAAAAAAAGTGGGAGTGGGAGAGTAATGTTAATGTGATTTTCATTATTCTTCTTTAAAACAGAGCCATATTTTCCTATTATACTGACTTGAGCTAAGCAATTTATTTAAATGATGTTAAGTCTTCTACTTAAAACAATATATTATTTTAATTGGGGTAAACTAATTCAGTTACTTTTCTGCCACCATAATATCCAGTGAGTGACCAGTTAAGAACCTTCCAGGGACCGGCCCCGGGTGCCTACTGGTTAACTTTGGCCTGCTCTGCTTCAGCGGCCCCAGTTCACTTCCCTGGCATGGACCTACACCACTGTCTGTTAGCACCCCTGCTGTGGTGGCGGCTCATGTGCAAAAAGAGGAAGATTGGCAGTGGATGTTAGCCCAGGGCGAATCTTCCTCAGCAAAAAAAAAAAAGAATCTTCCAGATAGCCTATTAGTAAAATAGAATACCTAGAACAGAAATGAGAGTTAGTGAACACAAGACTGGTCACAGGAACCAAAAGAACCCCAGACGGCTATGCAGTTTCATTCACCCCTTAAATTATTGGCATACCAAGCCCTGTGATACCTATTGCTAGACGGGAGAATGCAGATAAAGTTAAGTGTAAGCAAACCCAATTTATGACAATCTGGAATTACCCTAAAAAAACTCTAGGGGCCGGCCGGGTGGCGCAGCAGTTAAGTGCGCACGTTCCGCTTCTCAGCGGCCCAGGGTTCACCGGTTTGGATCCCGGGTGCGGACATGGCACCACTTGGCAAGCCGTGCTGTGGTAGGCATCCCACATAGAAAGTAGAGGAAGATGGGCACAGATGTTAGCTCAGGGCCAGTCTTCCTCAGCAAAAAGAGGAGGATTGGCAGTAGTTAGCTGAGAGCTAATATTCCTCAAAAAAAATTTAAAAAAAAATCTCTAAAGACTAATTGTTTAATGTAGAAGTCTTAAAAAAGTAAATTAAGGAAGAATTCCTCTAAGTACATTGAAACTTTCTTGGTTTCCAAAAGTATCAAAATAGTTCTATACTTGAATTAAGTATACTAATATAAGGGTCTTGTGAAACCTTTTAATACTACTTTATTTTTAATATTCTCAGTTTGTTTCATTGAGTTTGACCTCATAACCATGAGTTCTTAATGTGTGGACGGGTGTGATGTGCTTTCATTTGTAGGTGTGATGGTTGCAAGAGGACTCTTAGCAAACCCAGCCATGTTTGCAGGATATGAGGAGACCCCGCTGAAATGCGTCTCGGACTGGGTTGACATTGCTCTTGAACTTGGAACTCCTTATATATGTTTCCATCAGCATTTAATGTACATGATGGAAAAGATAACTTCAAGGCAGGAAAAGAGAGTATTTAACGCTTTGTCAAGCACATCAGCAGTCTTAGATTACCTTAGAGACCATTATGGGATTTGACGGGACTTCCTAAATTATTTTAATAGATACTTCATTTTATATCTACAATGAAACCACCCAAGGTCACATCTTGGTTTTTACTTTAAATCAGTGGCTCTCAAACATTAGTATAAAAACAGTGCTCTGAGAGCATTTTTACAAGTCACTCCTAGACCCCATCCTCAGAGATTCTGATTCAGTAAATCTCTAGGATGGACCCAAAATTTACAGTTTTAAAGAAGACCCCAGGTGGTTCAAACATCCTGGGCATCCTAGGTCCAAACATTGACAAACATTGTTCTGAATCCTATTATGAATTTTTAAAAAGTGAGAAATTTTTTCCTAAAGGAATCATGTTTTTAACATTTTTAAATAAATAAAACTTTTTAATACTAAACATAAGACTCATGGTATCTATAATATGAAGTACGTTTTTAATGAAAAAATAAGTGCAGAGAAGTGACAGAACAAATGCCAACATCTATATAAAATGAAAAGGAACAAGAAATTCTGTATAGAATTGCATTCAGGCTTAGATTAAAAGTTCAAGTTAGAGGGGCTAGCCTTGTGGTGTAGTGGTTAAGTTCGTGCACTCCACTTCAGCAGCAGAGTTCCAGGGTTCAGATCCCAGGGGCGGATCTACAGCACTCATAAGCCATGCTGTGGTGGCAGCTAACAAAGTAGAGGAGGATTGGCACAGATAATTAGCTCAGGGCTAATCTTCCTCAAGCACAAAAAAAGGAAGATTGTCAGCAGATGTTAGCTTAGGGTGAATCTTCCTCAGCAAAAAAAAAATTCCAATTAGAAAATCAAACTGATACTTCCTAACTCATGAATTACACACCTCAAGGTATTTATTTCAAATTGTATGTAACTGAATTTAATTAGGTGTGATGTTTTGCTATAATTTAAAACAGATTCCATGAAACTCTTTAAATGACATTAAATTTGTTACCTTTCAAGCCTTCTAGACCTTAGAAGATTGAGACCTTGATGTATATACCTGTACCTAAAATGATAAAATTAATTTCATCCCCCTACATCTTAAATATAAAAAATTTGGTAGCTAATTTGGAGATGATTATATATTTGAAATACTATTCCCTGGACAGTAGTAACCAGGTTTTCTTTTTAATTTAAAAACCTAATTTTCATACCGTTTTTAGTGATGTTATTTTTATGCTTCCCAGCAGTTGACAATAATTTTAACTTTAAAGTTCCATGGTTTGGGAATGTTACTAATAGAATTTTGTTATTGGTGAATGTGCCACTGCAAGAATTATCTCAGGTTAAAATAAAACAGTTCTTAATTAAGATATTGGTATATTACCAACATGAAAACTGCTCTCAGGTGACTATCTAAAACTGCTTAATTCAAGAGTTTGGGAATATTAAATGAATCAGTTTTAACATAAGCACTGTGTTGCTGTATTTTTTTCTCAGGCACATTCTGTGCTTTCATTTTTCAAGTAAGGTATTTTTCACGATAACTGGCTTTCTCATTTGATATGAGTAGTATGTAGGAAATAGGGAGCTATAGTCAGAACTTACTCATTTTTGTGTTTGTAAATTAAATTTACAAGTTATGTTTATAAATTAGGAAGTGAATTATAGTGGCTTTGTCAGCACAGCAGCATAATTAGAGTAAGGTGCACAGCCTTTCAAAGGAACCAGCGTGAAGGGCAAGCAGTCCTAAACGTGTTTCATTTTTTTTTAAAAAACCCCTTCCTTATGGTTAATTTATGTTGTCTTTTTTCTTTCTCTCTTTTACATGGGATCAAGTGTGATAAGAAAAAAGCACTGACTTAAATGTGTTTTTATATTCTATAATTACATTTTTATTTTAATCATTTGTTTAATGTTCCCAAAATGATTGTCTCCAGCAGGATACTTTTATTTCCATTCCTGATTTCTGGTCAATATTGAAAAAAACTTCAATAACTTGAGTGTATTCACGCAATTTGAAACAGTGGAAAATAGTAATAGAAAGAATATACTCACACCCACATTGTTTTCCTTTCCTATCAGTCCCCAGGCATCACCCTAAAGTTTACTGCCTCCTTCTGACACCGGCCCTAATGTCACTTCCACCCTAAATTAAACCCAGAAAATACGGGGTTAAAACCAAAGCACTCAGTCCCTGCTCACTCCCTGGGTTCGTGGCTCCACAATCCACTATCCACTGTGGAGACAGCTGGCCAGGGACATCCACCTGGATTCCTTACCACCTCGTCCCCGCAAGCAGCGGCCCAAGGCCCAACGCAGGCTGGGGGGAAAGCTGTGACCAGCAAGGCCACTGACCCCACCACCACCACCATCTGCAAGCAGCCACATTCCTCCCAAACGTTTAAAGTCCCTGGCCTCCCATCTTTGGGGGAGACCAGAGGAAAGGAGACAAATTTGAGGGCTGTCTCCGGACTGATGTCATCCGAAATAAAAACCCTTCCTTGCCAGGAACCTGGCGCTCCAGCTTTCGGTGGCCCCTCCCGTGTGGCGGGTAGGGAACCGAGGCTTGCAGGCGCTAACACTCCCGGCCCAGGGACAGCAGCAGAAAATCACGCAGAAAGGGGATGTTTTGACGCTACACATTCTCCTGCGTTCTCAGAAGGACAAAATGCTGCCCGGCCGTCCAACCCTGGCCCTGCTGTCTAACTAGCACTCAATTCCGGCCGATGAAACCGTTTGTGCCACAACCGAGAGACGCAGCGGGAAGAGCGCGTAGAACGCGTTGCAGCACCGCCCGCCCATCCTGCATCCCGGGTCTGGCCCCCACCGGCCCCCTCCCTTCTCCCCGGCCACGCCCCCGCCCCGGCCTCAGGCTGTTAGGCATGCGCAGTCGCCCGGCCCCGTGGGGCCCCGCCCACCGCCGTCAGCCAGCGGTTCCGCGCCTCTCGCGCCTGTGCAGCCCTGCTCCGGGGGAGTGGGCGGGGCCGCAGCCGCGGGAGGGCGCTGCCCGCTCCGCCTCCTCCCGTCTCCGCGGGTTGTGACGCGCGGGCGCCGGGCCGGAGCAGCGCGGGGAGCCGCGAGCCGCGGCCGGGTAAGGCCGCCGGGGTCGGGGCCGGGGGCGCGCGGCCCTCCGCCGTTGGGGCTCGGGGCTCCGGAGCGGCGTTCGCGGGGCGGGACCCTGAGGCGCGGGCGTTGGGGAGGGCGACGTTGGGCGGCGGTCGCCGGAGCTGGCCGGCCCGCTCGCCCTGGGTGCCGCAGGCCGCCGCGGAGGAGGCTCCGGGCGCCGGCCCCGGCCCTGCCCGCCCTGCCGGCCTCCGCGGGTTGAGGTGGGGCGCCCCGGCCCGCGCCGCCCGGGGTGTGCGACAGGCGACGGCGGACTCAAGCAGGCTTTCTCTGTTTAGGTGCGAAGAGCGACATGACGCTCCAGTGGGTGGCAGTTGCAACCTTTCTGTACGCTGAAATAGGACTCATTCTCATCTTCTGTCTGCCTTTTATTCCTCCCCAGAGGTAGGAAACCTCCAGCGCGTTACCGTGGTAAATAGAGGACTGGCTCCTGTCCGCTGCTTGGTGTGATAGGGAAAAAGTTCCTTAAGATTCAGAAGTTCTGAGTGCTGATGCGTAAACGGGGCTCTTTAAAAATAAACTCACCATTGCACAAATTAGGTGGTATATAATGACGGTATTAAAAGGTATAAGACTTTTTATGATATGTACAAATGAGTTAACTCTTTTCCCCTCTCTTCTAAAAGCAAAAGGGCCTGGTCCCTTCCGTGCTGTTGATTACAGATATAATAAATCGATGGTTATACTTTTAACACCTGTCTTGTCCATCAGGTTGTACTCTTGTTTTATTGCCCTGGGCTGGAACAGTGAACTAAATAGAGATGAATGACAGATTATGTTTCCAGCACAGCATGGGCGCTGAAATGTTTCACTGCGGCAGGGGAATGACAGTTGTGAAACTTAAGCCAATAAGTGATTCTTAGTTTTGGCCTTATGTAACCAAGAAGTAGTTTCCTTAATGCTTCATAGCAATTTTACTACTCCCCCCTCCCCTATATATTAGAGGTGCTGAATATGAAAAGCGTCAGAACCATACATCAGCATTAGTTCCTTGGTAAATCACCTTTGGAGGTCTTTAAGTACTGAGTATTTTAATTGAAGCACTGGGTCACTTTACCTTTGTAATAATGCCCTTATTAGGAATGCAGTTTTAGATCCAAAAACTTGATAGTATGAATGGTGAAATACACGTGTAATGAAAATGTTGCAAGACGTTTGCTCATGCTCATGAGGCGAAAGCTTTCGTTAAGTGAGATGGCAGAGATAACCCACTGAAGTTTAGGAAGATCCCAGGCCTGGAAGAGACGTAGGAAAGTTTTTCCCTTGGCTCAGTCAGGATCCAGCTAGTCTTGCACAACTCTTCACTTGCTTCTTATTTACCTAGATTTCTTCCCGCTTCTGTCCTTTTCTATCAGCTGTACCATCACTTTTTTCTTCCTTACTAAAGAAAAACGTTGAATCATACTGTAGGAAGGAGCCTTAGAGATGATTTTATCCAGACTGCTCGTTCTGTAGATCTTGTACTGAGACCCAAAGAGGAAAAGTGGCCTGACTAGCTGGTCTATGGCAGATTCCAGACAAGATTCTGGCTTTTAGTGTAGCGCTCTTTCTGCTCTGTCACCTTCCTCCTCATCCTGTTAATTTTGTTTCAAATCCTCAGTAACACCTGATTTGCTTTTTTGGTAATACTTGCAACAATAACATCCTATATTCAAGAGAAAGATATTATTTATAAACATTGGATTTATAAATAAGGCTTCGGAATTTGCAAAAAAAAGTTTTTTCCTCTGTTGATCTTTGCTGCATCAAAATGATCCATTATGGATTTTTTTCTTCCGGCCAAATGTAATTTTTTTCCTTTCCTGATCGAGTAGCTGTTTGATAGATGTGTGTATATGTACACACATTGTATAAATGTACCCTCATGTACAAATATGCATAAGAAAATATATATATACACGTAAATTACAGTATGTCATTACTCTGTGGATCCATGTCTTTTTATCGTTTATATACATATCCCCATAATCTTCAAAAAGAAGCTTTCAGTCTTCATTTAATTTGTCTCTCTATTCTTTTCTCACATAACCCACTTGTTGAAGACACATGCTCTGGGTCAGCATGCCTGGGTTTATATTCTGCCTCTACAGGTTACTGTGTGACCTTGGGCAAGTTATTTACCATCTCTGGCCAGTTTCCCCACCAGTAAAATGGAAGTTAATACTAATATCTACCTCATATGGAGGTTGTGGTGATTAAATGAGCTAAAACATGTTAAAGTGCTTAGAACTGTGGTTTAGTCAGGACTCAATATATTTTAGCTGTTATTAGCTCTTGCTTGAATTGCATCTTCTTATAAACTGCTAGTTGTTCCCTGTAGGGGTCTCTTTTGTGTTCCCTTTCATACTGGCCCTTGAAGATATGTGAATTCACATTTGGGCCTAGATCAAGGTATTGCCGCTCTGTTCTCTTTCTACAAATATAAAAGTTTTGTAATGTAAAAGTTGAAGACCGTCCTTGGGATTGGAAGCACAGAGAGAGGAGGGACTGCCTTCATCTATGTCAATCTCCCGCTCCCCGCCAACTTCAAGTGAAGTTGTTTTCAAAACTTATTAGTCAATACTTAGTCATAATCGTAAAATAAAACTTAAGTTGTAAGCGCTTGATGTGTGTTTAAATGTTTATTACCTTTGTATGTCTCCTTTAGACTCAGTTAATGTGTTATTCAGTTAAAATGTCTGTGTTCCAAGTTTGTTACCTTCCCAATTGTGTGATGGATTACTTTGTCACTCTTTACCGTTTATAATTCCTGCTTTCTTACCTCTGTGTCTTTGCTTATACTACTCAATCCATCTAGACTATTTATTTCCTCTTTTCATTTCCTCAGTGTCCAAATCTTGATATGGGTGGTAATTACATGTGTATATATATATGTAAAAATTCCTCAAGTTATTTCTTTAAGATTTTTGTACTTTACTGTATACATGTAATACCTCAATGCTTTTTTTAATTCCCTCCTGGTGAAGGTAGAGAAACTCTTTTACTTGGAGTAGATGTTAAAAGTGTACTGTATGAAAATAAATAGTGCAGAATTTGGACCCCCTACTCTTGAAATTTTGCTGATGGTTAGACCAATAGGTCTTTGGTTCTGAGTTATTACTCCGATTAGAGAAAAGATATAAAGTGATAGCTTCTTTCAGCAGTATGACATTTTACTGTAAGATTTCCTTTTTAAAGTTTTGATCATGTATATTTAAAAGTTATTTTCACTTCAGAATATTTAAGCCACCAGTCAGAAGATAAACAAGTGTCAGTTTATTATTAAATTTGAAAAAGTTGTTATTTCATGAGACATTCTTATGTGACATAAAAAATTAAATTTCTGTAATTCTTTTCATTTACTACAGTTACCAAAATGTTACTTCAGTATTTATAAAGTATTTCAAAACCTTCTTTTGATTTTTTTTACCTAATTTAATTGTATCGCTTTACAGATGGCAGAAGATTTTTTCATTTAATGTGTGGGGTAAAATTGCAACTTTCTGGAACAAGGCTTTCCTTACTATTATAGTCCTATTAATTGTTCTGTTTCTAGGTAAGTACTAGATTCCTCCTTTGAATAAGTGTAACTCTAGTTTTCTTTTTAATTAACAAATTCATTAGTTTTTGATTAACTTGATGTTGCTATTGGTTCCACAGTTGACTTTATATAGTATATTGTCAGTATATAGAGTAGATAATGATATATTGATACACGGTTGGTGCATATTACTATTCTCTATGCACAAGCATAAAATTCAGCTGAGTGCAGTGAGTGTTAACCTCTTTTAAGTTGCTTTAAGATTTAAATGCAGCAATGCATAGCCCGCTTTTCAGAGGTACCAGTTGTACGATCCTTTGTTACTGGGGTGTCCTTGGCACCCAGAGATCTTAGCTGTTAGGGGGGCAAATAGAGGAATAGAATCGTTAGGCCCTCAAAGGAAGTCCCATATAGAGAGTGTGAATCTTGTTTGGATCCTGGCTAAAAAATTACAACACAGACATTGGGGCAAAAATTTGAATATGGAGTGGTTGTTAGGTAATACTAGGGAATTTTTGTTAACTTTAGTTATGATAACAGCATTGTTATTATAGAGCAGAGGCCAGCAGCCTACAGCCTGGTGGCCAAATGCTTATTTTTGTAAATTAAGTTTTATCGGAACGTAACTACACCCATTTGTTTACATAGTGTCTATGTCTGTTTCCATGGACAACTATAGAGTAGAGTAGTTGGGACAGAGACCATATGGCCTGAAACATTTACTGTTTGCCCCTTTCAGAGAAAGTTTACCAACACCTGTTATATAGTAATATGTCTTAGGAGATGCATGCTGAAATATTTAGTAATAAAATGTCATGATGTTTTCAACTTACTTTCTAATGGTTAAAAAAAAAGACAGGTAAAGCAAATATGGCAAACTGTTAACAATTGTTAAATTTAGGTGGTGGAAATATAGGTGTTCATTGTACTAGTTTTTTAGCATGTTTGAACTTTTCACGATAGCAGGTATCTTTGAAATTAGAAGAGGAATTTCCTGTCAAACCAGAAATTCCGTGAGTCTTAATAATTACAATTTTTTTTAGAAGAAATCACTGAGCTCAGAGTGATTAAGTGATTTGTTTAAGATCACCCAGCTATTTCTTGGCATTTCAGGTTTTGAAAGACATTACAGAGGATGTCTTCCCTCAGAGCTGTGTTGTGGGTTAAGTAGGTTTTACAGGGGCCATCTTGGAACCATCACCACCATGTACACCACTGTTTTGTGAGAAAATGTTTCCAACTTTCCACACCACAAGCCTCTGATGTGGAATCCTCTTTGTAAAACTGGGAACAGCTGGGGTGAGAGGGTATAAGTGGGTAAATGTATCATGAGGTGAATAGGTTTGTGCCTCATCTAAAAATGTATTTGCCTCATAGTATGTTATTGTTAATGTTATCAATTGAATCTCCAGCCGTATAAGAAATAACACTAAACAAGTAAAGAACAATAAGGAAAACAGGTCCCAACTCTGCCAGCAGCTAATTAAATGACCTCTGGAATGGCACTTCCTCTCTCTGAGTTTGGTTTATCCTTTTGCAAAATAGAGAAGGAAGTAATTTTTGCTGCTCCTACTAACTCTAGAAGAGTGTTGTAATCTTCTCACTCTAAAATTATCACAAGAATTTTTACTGAAACTGCCACATACCCACAGAAGGAAAGAGAACTGTAGTCAAGCTTCTTTTGGTGACCAAGAAAGGGGAATTTATAATAGAATATGTTGTTTCAGAGCAACCTAAGGAAGCCCAATTTGAGGGAGGGACTAGTCCTAGAAACAGAAGGGTCCTTTTCATGTCCCTATCTTATCTTGCATTTCTCCCCGGGTGTACTTCATTCTTCCATACCTCTTTGAACTCTGGTGCTCTATTCCCAAGGCAGAAAATGGGCACCACACAGCTGCCAAGTGTTATCACTCCAGCCATATGCAAGGATTAATTAGCCATTTCTGAATTCCGATTCCAATTCTGAGGAAAAAAATCAGACCAGCCAACACCAGGTGTGGTAAGCTGCTACCAGGGATTGGGGTCACAAAGTGGAATGATGACTGCTGGCAGGAGCCTACATCTGTGGGCAAAGTGGGTAATAAATTACCAGAGAAGAGGGACACGAGGGATGGTTACTGCAGGAGCTTTAACCATGGATGCTAAAGGCAGGGAGATGGGAACTTACCCTCTAAGCCTCAGTGTTTCCGTCTCAGGAGAGAGTACTAACACCTACTTCCCTGAGGTGTTTGAAGACTTAAATGCAGTCATGTATGTAAAGCACATGGGCTAGTGTTCTTGTCCACTAGAATGACAGTGGTGTAGGTAATGCAAAACTGTGCATGTTTTGTGGGTGGAAATAGGCAGAAAGGATGTAGGAAAGCTAGAAATGCATTTAGTACCAGCAGAAATGCATTCCAGGAATTTGAAAGTTTCCACAAGTGATCTAAAAAAAGACGCTCTCCCCATGGTTTATAGAAAGCCAACTATACGTCACACCCTCTCCTTGTTGTTGCCCCAATTCCTCTTTCAGACATGGTCTGCTTGGTATTATACAGACAATTCGTCTCACAGGTGGGTTTGTGTAATCATTTATGTTTATAAACCTCTTTGATGTTATTGGTTAATCTTCAGTGTTTCTACGTAATGGACTCAGGAGTAATTGCCAAGGAAGCTGAATCACAAGCATAACCCTTCATAGTACTATTTAGTTTCTCTGGCTTGCTCAAAATAACTCATAAATACTATTTTGTTTCTTTTTTTCGGTTGTTTTTAGTGGTTGGCATACTCTTACTATATTATTAGGAATCTGAGAAATGACAAAGGAGAAATAGCTATTAAAACCAAGGAAATTTTTGTGTGTGTGAGGAAGATTGGCCCTGAACTAACATCTGTTGCCAATCAATCTTCCTCTTTTTGCTCGAGGAAGATTGTCCCTGAGCTAACGTCTGTGCGAATCTTCCTCTGTTTTATGTGGGACACCACCACAGAACGGTAGGTCTGCGCCCAGGATCCGAACCTAGGAACCCCGGGCCACTGAAGCAGAGCACGCAACTTAGCCACTGTGCCACAGGCCAGCCCCAAAACCAAGGAAATTTTTTAAAAATAATTTAAGAGACTACTTTATATACCTCTATGCAAATAAATTTGAAAACCTAGATAAAATGAGTAATTTTGTAGAGAAATGTAATTTACCCAAATAAACCCTAAGAGATATAAAAACCTTAAACAGTTTCCATAGAAGAAATATAGAAAGTTATCAACAATCTTCCCCTCCTTCAGAAAAGCATAAAACCAGAAAATTTTGCAAGAAATTCTGCCACTTTCAAAGAACAGGTATTACCAATGCTACCTAAACTGTTTCAAAATTTAAAGAAAACTTCAAATTTTATGAAACTAGAAAGAAGCGAACTCTAGAATTGGAAATAAACCAGAACAAATAAATCAATTATTATATGAGACTGGTAACATGCAACACAGAGGAAGGAATTGTTGCAAGTAAGTCTTGAACGTAGGACTCCAACTCAACCTCCTTGGTGAGATATTTTCTATGAACAATGGGGATTGTGAAGAAATCTGAAACTTCACTTAGTTTCATTGTTAATCATTTTAAAACTATTTTCTGTATATTACTACAACAAATGAATAAGTATGTTAATGGTATTAGAAACTAAGATTTTCAGTAATAGAAATGGCATACAAATATAAAGTCAAAAAATTAAGCAGCTTTTTTTTGGAGTGATGGAGATGTCTTGGGACTAGATAGAGGTGATGGTTGTACAACATTGTGAATATACTAAATGCTACTGAATTGTTCACTTTAAAATAGTTAATTTTATGTTATGTGAATTTTACTTCAATAAATTTTTTACAATAATAATTTTTTGAAAGACACAGGAGTTCTGGTCTTGGTAATGGCAAAATAGCTTGTATTAGATTAGCCCTCCTGTGATAACAGTTACGAACTCTGGACAAAATATGAAAAAGTATTTGAAGGCCTGGGATTTGAAGGATGGTGATAAAATGGAACCATCGTACACTGTTTGTGGGAATGGAAAGTGGTACAGCTGCTTTGGAAAAGTTTGGCAGTTCCTCAGAAAGTTAAACATAGTTGCCATAAGACCTGCAATTCCACACTTAGGTATATACAAAGAGAAATGAAAACATATGTCAGGACAAAGAGTTGCACATGGGTGTTCATAGCAGCATTATTCATAATAGCCAAAGAGTACAAACAATCCAGATATCCATCAACTGATGAATGGATAAACCTAATGTGCTATTTCTGTACAATGAAGTATTTGGCCATAAAAAATAGTGAAGTACTGATAGATGCTACACGATAAATGAGCATTGAAAACCCTATGCTAAGTGAAGGAAGCCAGACGCAAAAGACCACATAGTATGTGATTCCACTTGTATAAAATGTCCAGAACAGGCAAATCCATGGAGACAGAAAGTAGATTGGTAGTTGCCAGGAGGTGGGGAAGGGAGGGATGGGTGTGGGGTTTCTTTTTGAGTAATGAAAATATTCCAGTATTAGGCCAGTGGAGGTACAAGCAAGTTAGACTGCTGCTTTAGTGTAGCCATCAGCATTCTCAGGAAAGAGTTATTGTCATACAGGAAAGAGATTCCAGTTAGAAAATGAGCTCATTTTAACTACTATTTGACTTGATTTTGTTTTTTTAATGGCTGCTTTATTGAGATATAATTTACATACCATAAAATTTATTCCTTTGAAGTTTATAATTCAGCGGCTTTCAGTATATTCACAAAGCGACTTTGACAATACAATGACGATAAGTCCTAGATGAACAGTAGAAAACAAAAATGCTGTTACACTCAGTTTGCCACTAGCATCCATTTACAGAGCATCTGTTTTGAGCATGGTACCCTCCCAGGTATTGCAGAGGAAAAGACAAAGAGACAGCCCCTGCCTAAAGGTCATTATTGAAAAGTTGGGTCAGTTATTCTAAAACTGCTTCCCATTTCAATAATAATTTTACATTCTTAAAAGCCAAAAGTAATGTTTTCTCATTTTCTCTAATAGATGCTGTGAGAGAAGTAAGGAAATATGCCTCTACTCCTGCCATTGAAAAAAACTCAGCCAGCAGACCTAGTGCCTATGAACACATACACATGAAACTTTTTAGGTCTCAAAGAAATCTTTACATTTCTGGCTTTTCATTATTTTTTTGGCTGTAAGTAAAAAAAAATACAATTTAAAAACATGATTTATGTTTCTCTTTCTCATTTTTACTACTCATACTGTAGGGCTTTTTTCTGTACTGTACAGTATACTAACATCTTCATAAAAGAACTCATATACCCAAATAACAAACAATGGTTATGGCTTGTAGGTTTGATAGGTCCTTAAGGTCCTGCGTGATCTGGCACCTGTTCTCTCTGGAGCCTTGTCTCATGCTGTTCTCTGACATGTAAACCACATTCCACCACACTGACCTTCACTGTTCATTCATTCGTTCTTGCAACAAATACTTACTAGTTCCTGTTGCATACCTAGTTTCCTCCAGGATCTTCACACCTGCTTTTCCTTCTGCCAGAACACTCTTCCCCTGACTAACTTCTACTCATCCTTCAGCCCTTTCCTCAGGGCAGCCTTCTGTGACCATCTCTCCCCCAAAGTAGGTAGGTCTCCTGTCATACCCTGCCATAGAATGTGTACATACTTTTCTTTCAAGCATCTCTCATGGTTGTAATTAAATACCGTTTGCTCTTGGCTCCCCAACTAGAACCTGATCTCCTTAAGAGCAGGGACTTGTCTCATTTCCTGCTGTGTCCCCAGCGCCCAGCACAGTGTTTAACGCTTAGCAGTTCCTGAGGAAATGTCTGGCAGATGAATAGTTGAAAACAATGGCAGTTACCCATAAACACATGTGAATGGCCAACCTCACACAGTGCTCTTTAAATAGCACACTTTGAACTGGGCCAAAAAAAGACTGCTCTTACTGGCCCTGCCACACTGTCTGAAATTCTGTTTCTGCTCCTCCTGGCTGAGGACCTCTACAAAGAAAACAATTAAATTAGGAAGTACCACTGAACCTGTATTCCAAATGCTAGTCTTCCACCGGAGATTCCCAAGGAATGAGGCACAGGCTTGTTTTGTCTGAAAGACTTGGATTTTTTAACAAAAGCACATGTCCTCCTTAAACATCACCTCCCTCCACCACACCCACACCTAAAGCAGAGTCATTTGACGATAACTGTTGTAAAGTCACAGTTCCTGATGATTGGTCTACTTATGCATTGCTCTGAAATTTTTTTTTTTTCCTTAGAGTGTTGAGACGTCTGGTTACCCTTATTACTCAGCTGGCAAAAGAATTGTCAAACAAAGGAGTACTTAAAAGTCAAGCAGAAAATACTAACGAGGCTGCCAGAAAATTCATGCAAGAGAATGAAAAACTAAAACGGGTATTTCAATTTTCTTTTTAAAAATTTGTGTAAATGTTGTTGGTGTTCCCAAGGGTTGGTATAGCAGTATTGTTCTAGAGAATGATTGTTTCAAATGTATTTTGTTTTTTAGATTTGTTTTCTCTCACAGTTTCCCTCCATAGTAGATTAGTGCCATTGAACCTATTTCCTGTGATTCAAGGAGAAAACAGTATTCTGGGAATATGAATTTTAACTCCTTCATTACTGTTAATTTTACTTGATAAGCTAAAGCAAGTCTTTATGAATCTCTCTGTTTCCATTTCCTTTTCTGTTAGATTATTTTTTTATGCCTGGATTTTGGGTTTTCTTTTAAATGATGGCTCTGTGAGAAGCAGAGGAAAGTAGTTGATGCTGGATTTATGACTGCATGTAATATTTAGAGTCTTTCATGTGGTGAGGCTGCTGCTAGTCCTCCGTGGGGAACACTATGCTGTGCTTAGCTGCCGGTCACGGAGAACGTGACTCCGGTGCTGATGTATTCCCCGCTAAAGAAAAAGAAGAACAAATGAAAGTGAAAGATACAGAATTACTTTGGGTATTTTGTTTTCCTTAAGTTTGAAATTCAGGAGTCAGATCTCATAGCTTGCGTGTTTTCAGCGCATATTTAACCCTATAAGTTTTGCTAATTCTGCTTCTTAGAAAAAAGAATCACTGGAACCATTCAGAAGTAAGACAAATTTTCTTGAAGAAAGCATTCCTAAAATAATGGAGTAAGATTATTTTCCTATTATAAATTAAAGAAATACAGTCAATTATATATTATGTAAGATATATTTATATAAAAAGTATTGTGAGGCTGAGTAAGAATTAAAATCCTTATCCAAGCCCTAAAGCCCCGCCTGTTCTAGAAAGAACTATAAGCACCGCTTTTCATCAATTCTAAATGAGTTAGCTATTACAGAGTACAATATTTATATAAAAAGTATTGTGAGGCTGAGTAAGAATTAAAATCCTTATCCAAGCCCTAAAGCCCCGCCTGTTCTAGAAAGAACTATAAGCACCGCTTTTCATCAATTCTAAATGAGTTAGCTATTACAGAGTACAATATAAAATTTTGTAAAACCTATTTAGTAAGGCAAAACTAATTGTAAAAAATTGTTTGATGCTGCAGTATCATGGTCACCTATTCAAAACCCATGTTACACTTCTTATGATGGCTCCCTTATTTGTACTACAACAAAAAGGTAAAGAAGGACCTTTTTTCGTAGAAACAGAATTCAGAAGTATTTCTTTGGGTAGATTTTAACCAGCATCTTTTGAGGAAACTTTTAGTGAATAGGCACCAGTTTATTTTTTTTTACTTAGTTTTGTTCTGTTTTGAGAAGGCGTTGATCCATAGACATTTTGTAGATTTTTCTTTGTAGTAAATATAAGTCTTGAAAATCAAGCTGTTGGTATTTCTATATTCAAAAGCAAGAAATAAATCATTTTTGCTTTTTGGGGATATTTCAGCAGCAAATCAGCCTCATTTTGTACCCTGATATTATTTGCTTCATTTTCCATCCTTTGATCTCATTTCACAATGGTAAAAACAAAAGCAAAACCCTCAAAGCATTGATTAATGAATGAGAGCTTTACACTTTACACTTTTCACTTTAAACTTTTCACTTTGGGGCTACACCCAAAAGTATGTAGCCTTATATTTGTAGACTTATCATGTACCTATCTTTTTTTTTTTTTTTTTTAAGATTTTATTTTTTCCTTTTTCTCCCCAAAGCCCCCCAGTACATAGTTGTATATTCTTCGTTGTGGGTCCTTCTAGTTGTGGCATATGGGACGCTGCCTCAGCGTGGTTTGATGAGCAGTGCCATGTCCGCGCCCAGGATTCGAACCAACGAAACACTGGGCCGCCTGCAGCGGAGCGCGCGAACTTAACCACTCGGCCACGGGGCCAGCCCCTATCATGTACCTATCTTGATTTAAAATTATGCTTGTTATCACAGCTAACGTCATGCCCAATGGTGAAAAACTGAAAGCTATCCTTGTAATAACTAGGACAAGAGAAGGATGCCCACTCTTGCCACTCTTATTCAACATAGTGTTGGAAGGCCTCCCAGAGCAGTTAGGCAAGAAAAAGAAATTAAAAGGATCCAAATTGGAAAGAAAGAAGTAAAACTGTCACTGTTTGCAGACATAATTTTATATTTAGAAAATCCTAAAGAATCCACCAAACAACTATTAGAAATAATTGACAAATACAGTAGAGTTGCAGGGTACAAAATCATCATACAACAATCTTTTGCATTTCTGTATACTATCAAAGAACCAGCAGAAAGAGAAATCAAGAATACAATTCCATTTACAATCACAACAAAAAAGAATAAAATACCTAAGAATAAATTTAACCAAGGAGGTAAAAGACCCATACACTGAAAACTAAAAACCATTCTTGAAAGAAATTGAAGAGGACATAAAGAAATAGAAAGATATTCTGTGCTCCTGGATTAGAAGAATTAACATAGTTAAAATGTCCATATTACCCAAAGAATTTATAGATTCAGTGCAATCTCAATCAGAATCCCAATGATGTTTTTCACAGAAATAGAACAAAGAATTCTAAAATTTATATGGAACAATAAAAGACCCTAAATGGCCAAAGCAATCCTGAGAAAAAAGAACAAAGCTGGAGATATCATACTCCCTGATTTCAAAATATACTACAAAGTTATGGTAATCAAAGTAGCATGGTGCTGGCACAAAAACAGATACACAGATCAATGGAACAGAATAGAGAGCCCAGAAATAAACCCACACATCTATTTTTGGACAGCTAATTTTGGACAAAGGAGCCAAAAACATACAATGGAGAAAGGAAAATTGCTTCAATAAATGGTGTTGAGAAAACTGGACAGTCGCAGGCAAAAGAATGAAAGTAGACCATTATCTTAGACCATACACAAAAATTAACTCAAAATAGATTAAAGACTTGAATGTAAGACCTGAAACCATAAAACTCCTAGAGGAAAACATAGGCAATACACTCTTTGACATCGGTCTCAGCAGTATCTTTTTGAATATGTCTTCTCGGCCAAGGGAAACAAAATAAAAAAATAAACAAGTGGGACTACATCAAACTAAAAAGCTTCTGCATAGCAAAGGAAAGCATCAACAAAAGGAAGAGACAACCTACCAATTGGGAGAAGATAGTTGCAAATCATATATCTGATAGGTGTTAATATCCAAAATATATAAAGAACTCGTACAACTCAACAACAACAACAAAAACAACCTTATCAAAAAATGGGCAGATGATCTGAACAGACATTTTTCCAAAGAAGGTATACAGGTGGCCAACAGGCACATGAAAAGATGTTCAGCATCACTAATTATTAGGGAAATGCAAATCAGAACTACAATAAGGTATCACCCCATCCATACTGGTCAGAATGGCTATTACTAAAAAGACAAGAAATATAATAAGTGTTGGAGAGGATGTTGAGGAAAAGTAATTCTCGTACACTGCTGGTAGAATGTAAATTGGTGCAGTCACTATGGAAATGAGTGTGAAGATTCTTCAGAAAATTAAAAATAGAAATACCATATGATCCAACTATTCCACTTGTGGTTATTTGTCCAAAGAACACAAAAACACTAATTTGAAAAGATGTATGTACTCCTATGTTCCTTGTAGCATTATTCACAACAGCCAAGACTTGGAAACAACCTAAGTGCCCATCAATGGATAAATGGATAAAGAAGATGTGGTATACATATGTATAAGTATACATACATACATACATATGCAAAAATGTATACATACATATACATATGTGTGTATAATATATACATGTACATATATATAATATATGTATATACATACGTATACACATTGGAATACTACTCAGCCATAAAAAAAGACAAAATGTTGCCTTTTGTGACAACACGGATGGAACTTGAGGGTATTATGCTAAGTGAAATAAGTCAAACAGAGAAAGACAATTACCATATGACTTCACTCATATGTGGAAGATAAACAAACAAACAAAAAGAGATGGAGAACATATTGGTGGTTACCAGAGAGGAAGGAGGTGGGAGGAGGGCGAAAGGGGAAATGGAACACACATGTATGGTGACGGATGGCAACTAGACCTTGGTGGTGAACACAATGTAGTCTATACAGGAGTTGAAATATAGTGATGTGCGCCTGATGTTTACATAATGTTATAAACCAATGTGAACCTTAAATAAATAAATGAAAGTATGCCCACCATGTTAGAGTAATGAGTTATAGCTATTAATAGAATATTGCTCTTTTCCTCTTATTCTTTAGTTGTTTTCCTCTTACTTTTCAGCTCTACGAAAATGGAAAGCATTTTCATTAAGTTTTGGTACTATTTTTCGGACATACACCATAATTAATGTACTTAAATTAGTCCTGTCCTTCAAAATAACACCTTCCTCAAAACATTTTTGGAACTTTGCTTTTGGAATTGTTTTCAGAACCAGTTACCCTTGCAAGGAAACATTTCATGAATACTGGTTCTTCAATGCCCCACAATTTCTCCATTTTTTGTTTTCCTCCCCTTTTCTTCCATGCTGTCCTGATTCCCTGCTTCCTGCGTATCTGTGACCCATTCGGTGGCCTTAGATCCTCAGAGGTGCCCAGAGATGCTGGGCTAAAGCCACTACAAATTGGGCAGAAGTCTGTGAGCTGGACTTGAGTATTGTCAGTGCCCAGAGTGTACTAGTTGACCAATACAGGCCATAGGTCAGAGTGTCAGATGACTTCTGTTTCAAGATACTTCAGGTAGGTTTTGAAGTACTAGCTAAGGAAGAATAAAACTGCTAAAATGCCTCTTCATTCTCTATCAGAGACACATTATTTAATGGAAAGTGCATTACCCTGAGATCGGAGAGGCTTGGGTGCTAGTCCCAGCTCTGCCAATAGTTAGCACTGTGACCTGGGGCAAGTCACCTCCTATGCTCTGAGCCTCAAGGTTATAAATAATAGCTAACCCTGTGCCAGGTGTTGCTGCATACGCTTCACAGTAAAGTATTAACTCTTAATTCTCACAATAACCCCATGAGGTTGGTACTCTTATTATCTGCGTTTTATGGATGAGGAAATGGAAGCACAGAAATGTTAAGCGACTTGTTAAGCTAATAAGTGACAGCACTAAGATTGGAATTCAAGCAGTCTGACTCTAGAATCCACTCTTAACCACGTTGTTTTGTGCCCTTCGCTCCTAAGCTAGTCTGTAAAATGGCTTTCAGGTGGTACCTAAGCCCCCTTTCTGTTCTGATATTCAGTTAATGAAATGAAATAATTATGACAGACCAATTAATTTTAGTTTGACTACTTTAAAATAACAACAGTGGTGGAGCTTTACTTCTGACTAGTTTTTTTTAAGCCACTTACCCGGGTGGGGTAAGGTGGGTGGGACAGTGAACATGTGCATCATTGTAGCAGGGGGCTGTTGAACTTCAGATTCCAGGGCTCTTGGTCTTTCTCCAGCGTCAAGTTACATACAATAAGTTTGGACGAGTTTACAGGTGCAGTAATGAAAGCTTATTTACAAGACCGATGCAAATCCACCTTTTCCAAGTCAATGGCATCATAATTCAAGCACTCAGTGTAAACATTCCTGCAACTCAGTGGTTCTCTTCCGATTTGGGTAATCACTGGAAACTGTGAATTCAGTGAAGTAACAGCTGGGGTTGTTTTGAACTTGGAGTGGACAACAAATTGATAGAGATTCGAAGAAATTGTTTTCTTGTTTCTGCTCTTTAAAAAACTTTGTTTTTTAATTTTGAAGCTCTGAGACTCCTTTAGTTTTAGTATGTACTTCAGTCCTCTATCTCCTAAAACAATTTCTTAGGATTATGTAATATATTCATTAGTACTTTAATTCCTCCTCCTGAGCTGCCTAAGCTCTGTTGTAACACAATGGTACTGTATTTGATTTTGTGCTACGGTTTTTATGCTCCTGTCTCATGCTTTCCACTAGATCGAAGTTACCTAAGAGCAGAGACCATGTTTCTCTTGCATTTTTACCCCCATTAGCACCCAGCATTATAAAATATTTGCATGTAGTCAATGCTCAGTAGAACTCTGACTTTTGTTTGTTGAATATACCAAATTACATTAGAAAAGGAGTCACCCTGCAGTAGAAATTCATTTCTATGTCAGTCTGTTTCAAATTGTCCTGAGTTCCCTTTTTACCTGACTTTGGAAGCTGTCATTATCAACTTGCTTCTACTTGACTTAGTCAAATACCAGTGTGTACATATTTTATTTTTCAAACATTAATCCAACTTGCTTTTCTTGGTAACTTAAATTCCTTAAAATTTCTTCAAGAAAAGTTAGCTTCTTAATTCTATGAACAGTGATAGTTTCTATCCAGACATACAGATTATGAAATTTTTACTCTATGCTATTTTTACTTTAGTCAAGTATTTTACTATTCAGGTTTTAATTTTTCTTGCCTAGAAAAGATAAGCTACAAACATAAACATTTTAAAATCCGGAATAGATTTTAAAATATGAAGAGCACCGTAAAAGATTAACTGAATAAAAGTAATTTGGAGACTATTCAATGAAAATTAGATAGAATTTTGCAAGCATTGAGATGACCCTGTCGTTTTCCCCTTCCCCATCTTCACCCTGACAATGTTATATTCTCTTACAAATTCATCTATATAAAAATAGTCTAAGTACACAGCTCTGCAATTGGAACATAATGGTTTTCAGTTGATACCATCCTTAGAACTGTTTCTTTCCTTAGGTTTATATCAGACACTTAATCAAGGAAAAGACATTCGCTTATTTACCTAAATACTTTTGAAAATATAATGTTAATCATAGTAGCAGAAACTCTTATTTTCATTTCAGAGATTTCAACCATAAAATAAAAAATCTTTGTTGTGTGGTTTGCCAATTATCAAGTTTTTGTTAGCAAAAGTACATTGTAGAAAATTATAAAATACTGAAAAAGGCAAAGAATAAAATAAAGATGAATAATTTTAAGTATATTATCCATCCCATTTCCGAAGAATGTCTGGCTAATGCAATCTAAGCTTGCTTCTTTCTGTAACTCTCTTTTCCGATAGGTCTTGAAAAGGTATGGCAAGGAAGAGGAGCACATTTTGGAAGCAGAAAATAAAAAACTACTAGAAGACCAGGAAAAACTGAAAACTGAACTGAAGAAGACTTCAGATGGTAACTGTGTGCGCGTGCAGAAGAGAAAGAGCGTGATAGTTTATGCCGTGATGCTTCACTGGTGTTCCTAAAACAAAGCTAATGGCTGAATGTGCTTGTGGCTAAAATACCAAGAGTGACCTATTTATAAATTCCTGCTCAAATATGAAGATAAAACATTGTTTCAGCAAAAGGAAACATGCTCTGTTATACAGAAAAACATGTAGGTGTTTCAGATCTGTGTTGTAAATACAGATGTTCCTGCCTTAGCAAAAGAGCTGTGTTCCTGAAAAGTTGCTGGTAAACATGTTTTTGGAAAATGAATCATATTTTTCCATCATAGTACATTGCTTCTTTGAAAGAAGTAATCACAGGAGGACAGTTTTGGTTACAAGCAAATATGTTGCATATGTCAAGCCCTAATATTTCCCACTTGTCAGATATAAGGAAACCGTTCCTTGAAAGAGATGGCTGGGAATGCAGTAAGCGGCAATCCGGGATGTCAGCTGAGAGTGTAAATGGCTCACTCCAGAACACACTATAATGAGGACTGTGGTAGGGCATCCTAACTCTGTTTCCCTGAAGGCAGCTATTTCTTCTACATTTTTTGTTTTTTGAAAAATAGTTCTGATAGTATTTTCTTCTTAAGCAAAGAACAAATTATTATTGCCTGTAGCCACGTAGCACAGAAGAGTAGATACTCCAAGTCCAGTGTCATCCCAGGAAACTGAGTCCAAGCCCTGGAGAACCTCTCAGCCAGTCAGACTTAAGAAAATGAGCAGTGCTTACAACTCCAGTTTCAAATCTCTTCCACTACTCTATGTTAGAGGTAAATAGGAGAATGTTCCATGACTGAATCAAGGACCTACTTTATGCCATTTGTAAGTTTAGGTTTTTTTAAATAGACCTTGGTATACTGAAGTTCTCTGTGCTGTAATTTGCTAGTATTGATTATCTATTTACATTGTTTGGATAGAGTTTACTTCATCAAGACGTATTTGAATTTGAGATGGAAAGCCTGAAGATGAAAGCTAATTCTGTAAAAATAAAAAGGCAAAAATCCATAGGATATTTCATGTGATATAAAGTTTTTTAGTCACTTTTCTGCTTCTTATTTAAAGTGAAAAAAAGAAAATCATCTAGAGGCAGTAAGTTAAAACATGTTACTGCTGTAGATAAGATGGTATTTTATGTGGTTGATATCATATAGCCCAAAATTCAAAATCTTGTCATAGTTGGTACTGTTGGCTCTTCAGCAATTCCAGAAGACTTGGAACGTGATCAAGTTATAACATTTGTATGAAAATAAATTTAGTAACCACCTACCCTCTACATTAGACATTTTAGGAGAGAAACTGTTCTTTTTTTACCCAAAACAAAATATTGCTGCTAATCCTTCTGAAGAATGCAAGGGACTATTTTCAAAATACCTTTAATTAGCAAAAAAAGTTGTTTCAAAAATCTTGCTTTGTTTTTTCCTATCTGCCAAGGATCCATTTTCTTATCTTGAAAGCAGGGTGGTACAAAAATAACAGAAAAACAAGAATAGGTTGTATGGTACGCCCCATCTCTCTTTACCCTGAGCGGCTTAGTTTCTTCTTTGTTTGCCTTTCAAAAATTCCAACTCAACGATGTTTTGAGCTTTAACTTCAGAAACATCTGAAATGTAACTCTAACTCAATATTATTTTAGAGTAATAATAAAGAAACAATCTTTCTTCAACAGACAATTCAGATATTTGGAGAACATGAACTCTGATAATATGGGCATTGTGTTTATAATCTGATAACAAGAGATGCTAGCTTCTGTGTTTGAAGTGTAGACTGCAGAGCTGCTTTCAAAGTGAGTCTGTGTTGCCCTAAAAGCAGATTTTACCTGTTTGAGTTGGTTCTGTTCGGTTCCTGCAAGGCGTGTAGTATTTTATGAACACATTTTATTTACCCAAAGTTACTGTTTTAGATAACATTATTAATGACCTTGAGAAGATTGACATTCTATTTCTAAAGGAGGTATATCCTTGGCTATTTCTCTTGCCCTATCTCAGTCAAATTCATTAAGGCAAGAACTAAGAAATTCCATAAGTTAATAGTACAAGATTTGGATGAATTCAGCAGGACAATCCTTTGTACATAGTACCATTCAAAAATATCCAGTGATTTCTAAAAATGGACAGTGTTAAGGCTGACAGTGCTTAATAATTGTTTCAGAAAGTTCTTTTGTATTTGAAAATTGATTAGAAAAACAATGTGGTTTATTTTTTAATAGAGGTGAAATAGAGTCTTTTCCATGTGAATTATCTTACCCTGGGTGTTTCTTTAATCTAACTGAAACATTTTCTCCAAAGTATATTAGTGGAAATAGAGCATAAATACAAATGTTTATTTAAGCTAGTTAGCCCCAAATTGGAAAAGTGACATTCTGAAGGCAGGTTTTAAGAACATTCTATCCGGAGTGCCAGGCTCTCCATCCATTTTTAACTACCAGCTTGGATTTTACCAGAGTTAGTAAATTTCCTGTGCTTCAGTGCAGTAAGGTGACCCTGGTGATCCAAAGGATTGTGCATGTCCCAGAGCACCTAATGTACACCCAGCACTAGCTTAGTCAGCTGTGAGGACCTGATCTGTCATTTGAATGACCTGTTTAACAATACTAACTCTGATATCCCAGTGTGTGGAATAATTGGGAAAGGGCACTGCCGTGAAAAATGAGAACTTAAGCTCTGAAGAATTTACAAAGCTCACAAGCTCTCATAATAAAAATAGACCTTGTATGTAGTAGAAAACCTTCTGATGTCCAAGGAGATTGGCTTCCAAGGACTCTTCCAGGATAGCTACTTGTATTTATTCTTAGAAATAAATACCTTCTCAATGTTTATTCTTATAGCAACAAGAAATATGTACCATTCAGTCATTGCATGCATCCAGACAGTGGTAAAAGTAGATATGATTTTAAAAGTGATTGAGTTGCATGTAGAAATGTCTCCTCTTCATTCATGTAGGAGCAGGGATATTCCATAACATGCCACATTAAAAGAGTTTTCAGGGCTCCCAATCTTGTAGTAAAGGTTGAGTAGTAGTATATTTCTCTTGCATAAAGGGAAAGGAAAAAGAAGAAACGACAAGAAAGTGATTGAGGCAAATTCCTTGACCCTCCCTTTATTCTTTCTTCCTTCCTTCCTTTTTCTCTCTTTCATCAACAGTTTTTTAAAGAACTTTTCAAATAATTTATTCATTGCCAGATCATTTAACATGGAGCATAATTAAAACTGTCCTTAACAAGCATACCTATCAAGGATAAAGCAAATTTTACATGTTACCTAAACAAAGTGTGTACATACAGAACAGAAACTGAGTGTAAAGACCCATTCTGTGTGCCTCTGTTATTGGCTCCATATAACAGAGACCGTAGATTTGGACCTGGAAATAGAACCTTCTAGAACTATTTAACCTTCTAGTTGATAATTCAACTCTCTTCTTGGGTAAATGCTGCCGTATCACTGTGACTTACCTTGAAAAGAACTAACATTTCCTTTTACAGACCAACTTCACTGCCCTTGAAGATGTTAGAGTAAAAAAAAAATGTCATCATCCTCTGATGCCAGTAATAAACAAGTCAACTAACATAGGGACCAGGGAGTGAAAATGTTTGAAGTGCTTTTCAAGAGAAATTGAAGGTCAAAACAGGAGAAAAAATAACATGGGAATTACTATTTTATATACCAGTAACCCTAAACTCCTGCCTCTTGAGTTTTAAATAAGAATAAAATATACACTTTTTGTACAAATTTAAAACCGTGGGGTTTCCAGTTCCTTACAGAGGAACTATTTGAGCCATCTCTCTGTCTAAAAATCAGTTCTCAAAGTCCAACCTAAGCATGTTTTACAGCTGTAAGTTCTTGTGGGCATGAACTCAACTATCTTTAACTTGCAGTTATAGCAAAGCCAACATCTTATTTTAAAATTGTTAATGCTTTTAAAAATTTAGTAGTTCTGGTCATATTGTATTTTTTGCTTTATTTCTTCTTAGTGAGTTTTTATGATTTGAAAAAGAAAAAACATGTTTTTCCCTCCTCTGTTTACATATCTGGAAGTTTCCACTTCTTTGACAGCTCCTTCTCTTCTTTCCTTAACTGAAGGAAAGTCCATATTAAAAAAGAATAGTATAGTTTATTTGATGGATGTGGCAATAGACTTTATGTAATTAATAGTATTTTAATTATTTAAAGCAAATAAAATATGTGACCCATCCTTTTAGTAAGGTTTTAGCTCTTAGGTCTTTTTTCTAAATAAAGAATGTATTGCCATTTATTAGTTTATGTAATCTTCACAGGCTATTGTTGATTGTTATTGTCAAACCAGAAAAAGGGGCTTCCTTGCTGTGGGGCTGCTTTCCTGGTCCTAATCTGTAATGGTGGTGTTTTATCCTGTTTGGTTCCCTCTTTTGTTCCCAGTTAGTTGTGATGTTTCCTTTCCTGTGAGCTTCTTATCTCTTCCCATGACCTGTATGTGTAAAATAAACTGTGTCATCCAGTGACCACGAGGAATAGCTATAGGGAAGATAGTAACTTAAGACAGAAATTCAAGAACACCTTATAATATCATTGACAATACCAGCAAGCATGACTGATGCTACCCTGAGGAAAGCTTTTATAATCTCTACAGAGGGGCATTAAAGCAAGAGAAAACAGCTTCTTTCCCGAAGAGCTTCTAGTCCAGATGGGTGGATCCAACATATATGTGTAGAGTGACTGCAATTCATTTCCTCCTCTTCTGAGACCTGAGTTAGTCTACCAACAAACAGGGAGTGCAGGGTGCAAAATGGAAACTGAATAAAGGAATACACCAGATGATAAACATGTAATCAAGCACAGTTCTCTAAATATGGTGATGGACATACAGAGTGGCAGAAAATGAGTGAAATGACGTTACTGGTGTGGGAAGAACAAGGCATATAGCAGACTGCTCTATCAGAAGTTGATGAGGATGTGACACCCTAGGGTGCAATCAGAGATAATGCTGTAAAGTTGAGAGGTCAGTTGATGGAGCTCTTAAGTGATTAAGGGGATGATTAATTAGATGCTTTGGTGTTCTTCACTGCTGTCTTATTTCCTACCTAGATACAGTGATCACCAAAGGCCTGCCTAGTAAGTACTTTTATAGCGAGTTTTTCAGCTTGTGTCAGGTTTGTGTTTACTGCCAAGTCAGGTACAGGAGCTAAGCTGAACAACTCTAAAACTCTAAAACTTTGCAGGGGAGGAGAAATGATTTGGGGAGGGAAATCAGCATGTTCTTTTCGTTGTAAATATTATATCAGGAAAATAAAAAATGAGACTAGATCTCTAGAGCTCTTTCCAGCTCTGAGAGCATTTGCTTATGGGATTTTAACACAAGGAAGTCACTATAATGCTTAAAGAGTACCTAATTTTTTGTTTCTTTTTTATTTTGGTCAAAGTTTTAAATATGCATGATTTTAAAAGTCAAATAGTACTACAAGGCTTGTAATGAAAAACAGCAGTGCCCTGAGGCCTATTCTCAGAAGCAGCTACATTTAACTAATTTAGCTATGTCTTCTGATATTCCCCTCCAGTTTGTAAATACAATGTTTAGATAGCTATTTCTTGATCTTTCAGTGTGTGGGATATTATCTTTGACTTTCTCATATGGAAGAGAAGGACTTTGGACTGGCAGCTGTGCGTGTATCTCACCCAACTCTTCATACACACTTCCCACACCCCATCCTTCCAATATAAGTATATCATAATATTTATTATATCACATTATTGTGACTATATGTCTTTATTCATCATCATTATGGGGACGCATTTGCCTCTTTCCTGTGTTGATACCCTCTTTCCTGGATTCCATGTTTTCCACTTTTTGCTTACTCTCTCCTTTTGATGGAGCATATCATCCAACAGCTTCTTGAGAAAGAGTACATGAAAAGTAAATAATTTGAAGCCGTGAATTTCTGAAAATCATTATTTTCTGAAAATGATTATTTCTGAAAATCATTATCATAATTTTAGCCTCAGCATTGGTTGAAAAATGTTTAACCTCAGAAATTTGAATGCAATATTCCATTATCTTCTGGCTTCTCTTGTTTCTTTTGACCTGGCCAGAGTCATTCCAGTCCCTGATCCTTTTTGTATGTGACCCTGTTTTGTTTTGCCTTCTGAAAACTTGTGGAATATTCTGTCTGTCCCCAGGGTTATGAAATTTCATCTTGAGAGAGATTTTAGGATGCAGGCAGAATCAGTAAGATTGGGGGAATGAGGGAGAGTAGATGTTTAAGGTGACTCCAGGTTTCTAATTTGGTTGACTAGGTAGGTAGCACTTTTTACTAAGATTGGGACCAAAGGAGGAGTCGGGTGCTTTCTTTAATTTAGGGAAAGAGGAAGCAGAAATAATAAATTTTGTTATAAATATGCTGAGTTTGAGGGGCATCAAGATATCCTAGTGAAAATGCCCAAAGAATAGTTGGAAATACGAGTTTGAAGCTTGGAAGAAAGTTAGTCTCAAGACAGAGTCTAAACCATCATAGGTATGGATCTGATAGTTAAATCAAGGAGCTGACGGAAATGTCAAGGAAGAGTGTATTGGGTAAGACAGAAGAAGCCTGGACGTAGAGCTCTGGCACATACCAACATTTGAGAATTAGGCTGAGAGCAATCATCAGAGGTTTTACGTGGTAACTGTTCGTCTCTGGTCCTTTAATTCTCAGTCATTTAATTAGTAAAGATTCCTTGGATTCCAGATGATACGTCTACTTTTCAATGTGTATTAATAATGTTGAACCTACTGATGATCTAGAAAGTATTTATAGTACAAAATGCTATGTGTAATTATAAAATTTTGTTCTAAAATTTTACTCTTTGAAAGATGTCTCAAAATTGCAAAAAGGAACAGAGTGTATGAGAGTATATGGCTAATGTGAGTTGGAGGAAGTTAGGATTTAGGAGGAGACTGAAACTTGGGAAGCAAATGCTCTTGCCCAGCGTGCCCCCACCTCTCTCTCTGGACGACCTCACTGATTTCCACAACTTGATCTCTTCTCCAGAAGAAACCTGGCAGTATATTCCTTCACTTCCTCCCTCCCCATCTTATTTTACCTTCTTAATTGTTGGCAAGAGGTTACTGTCAGAGGTAAACTTTATTTACTCAACACTTCTGAAAGTTTGTATTTCATTTCAGTATGTCTTCATACAACGTCACTTTTCTGGAAAACGTTCACCCCTTTCACCTCTACACTGGATCAGTAGCGTATTTTTCTGCTTCGTAGAATGTCCCTACAGCTTTCAGAAACCAAGTACTCCTCAACAGTTTTTATGGGATCAGTTCCTGGGATTTTGGATCCTGCAGATGGCCGCATGTTCCTGTAGGGTTGCATCTTAAAGGGATCTTAGCAACCTGGAGTCTTTGCTCAGTTCCATTTATGAACTTTTAGTTGTGCCTGCCGTGTACAAAGTATTGTGCTGCATGCTGTGAGGGATACCAAGACGAATACATTGTCATACCAGTCTTCAAGGATGTCTGGTGAGAAAGGTAGACAAATTCACTGAAAGCCAAAAGGTAAGGCGAGAGTTGATAAAAGCCAAAATAAAGGTATAATACGAAGAGTTATGGTAGCACAAGGAGAGTGATTGATTCTTAGTGGCAGAGTTGGGGAAAAATTCATAGAGGAGCTATCATTTGAGCTGAGTCTCGGGGATGAGAGGAATTTCAGAAGCGGAAATGGGCAGTAAGTGTCTTCCTTCAGCTTCAGGAACGCACAGAAACCGAGGATGGAAGGCCATTGTGCCTAAGCTTATGATACAGGGCGGGGTAGAGTGGGAGTGATGAGGCCAGCAAGAAAGCTGAGACGGGATTGAGGGGCTGTGAGTCCCATGCTTAGAAGTCCAAAATTTATTCTAAAGTAAGTACAAAGGCAGCAGCAGATTTTTAGCAAGAAAATGTAGAGCCGGAAAGAGTCTTTTGCCAAATAGTTTGTGGACCAAGATTAGATTAGAAAGAGACCATAAAATAACTCTCAAATGTTTAAATCTCTTTTTTTAAGAATTTTCTTGCACAGTTTGTTTCAGGATGCTGAAAGCATCTA